AATTATAATAATTTATTAAAATTTTCTATTAAATATTTTTAAATACTTTTGTTTAAAACAAAACTATAACAAGTCTTAAATCTTTTTGTTTTTTTTTTTATTTTAATTAAAAATTATTTATTTGTTATTATAGATCTATTATATATTAAATAAGAAAATTTTTATTATATCTTTTTTTAAATTAATAACTAAATATATAAAATTTTAGTTATATATTTTATATTTAAAATTTCAAAATAAATTTTTTAATTATTAAAAATTTTATTAGAAAAAAATTATATTAATATTAAAAAAATTTTTTATTATATATAAGATTATTGATATAAATAATAATAAAAGATTTTTTATAAGAATTATATATTTAAGTTTTTTTGTTTTTTTTTTTAATAAAATAAATTAGATACCAATTATTTCTTAATATATATATAATATTTTAATTATATTAAATATTATTTATAATTTTAAATTATAACTTAATACTAATCTATTCTATTTATTTAATTCAGCAATATAATTGATATTCTTAAAGTAATTTATATTTTGGAGAAATTTATTTAAGAATAAAAATCCTATTACTAGTTTTAAATTATCTTTAATTTATTGATCCATTTTTGAAAAAACAAAAAGTATTAATGGAATCAATTTAAGATATTTTTAAGTTTTATTTATTAAACTTAATTTAAATTAATTATAAATTTTAAAAAAAAAAAGTTAAATAGAATTAGTTAAGTTAATATATAGTTCAATCTATACTATTAAATATATTATTATTATCTTATATAACATGGTTATAAGGTTTAATTGAAATTATATCAGAAGTTTTTCTTTATGCAATTCTTTTTTTTTATAACTTATTACAATTTTATAATTATTAGAAAAGTCAAATATATGGTCTAAATTTTATTTATTAAATAAAATTATTTATTATAATATTTAAATATTATAAAAAATATTTGAAAATAATAAGCAAGATAAATAAAACAAATATTAATATATTTTTTTGCTTATTTTATTTATAATATATAGTATTAGTATTGATTTTAATTATTTTTAAATTAATATATTATTATTAATTTTATTATATATATATAATCAATAATAATATTTTTAATTAACTAATATTTTTTAATTGTTTTAAATATAATTAACTAGTTGCAACTAAAAAATCTTAAATTCTAATTAGTTAATTTTAAACTTTTCAATTAATGATTTATAACACTAAATCAATAAGATCTTAAAATTAATAACTTAAATAAAAATAATTATATTTTATATACTGTATATATAACAAATTAGAATTTTTTATTTGTGATATGTATTACATATTGGTTGAAATCAAATAAAACAGATCAAGTTATATAATCTTTATTTTACTTATTTTGTTTTTTTATTTATTTTCAAATATTTTTTGTAATATTTGAACATTATGATAAATTATTTGAGTAATATAGTGATCTTATATTAAGGATTTAATAATTTATTAACAGGTATTATCATTTTAATATTAACATTGAAAACACAATCATGGTTGGCCAAATGAGATTGACAAAGTTGAAATGGACTCAAAGCTAATAATATATGAGAGGAAACTAGGATATTGGACATTTGTATAGTTACACGGAAAGTTAGCGAGAACCAAGCAGAAGAAATTTATGTTGCTGCCATTGATCCTGGAGTTCGCACTTTTCTTACATGGTATTCTCCCACAATTGGTCATGGGAACATTGGAGATAATGATATCAATCATATTTTTCACTTATACCTTGCTCTTAACGCCTTTATCTCACAAACCACCAGAACATTAGTAAAAAAGTATAACTCGATTAAGCGTGCTTAAGCATGCATGTGTGTTACCATGATTGTTATCTAAAGCAGAAGAATTTGGCAAAATCGTAATAACATCCATATCTGAAGCATATACAAGTAAAACATGCAGTCGTTGCAAATATATTAAGGGGAATTTGGGTGGAAATAAAGTATTTAGGTGTGATGAGTGTGGACTTCAGATTAATAGAGATCTAAATGACGCCGGGGAATTTTTCTCTGGGCATTGCTTGATGGAGCCTTAATTATGTAACATAATTATGCCAATTGATTGATTATTTTTAGCTATAGTTGATCGATTCAATCCATCCGTGCATAGCAATGATTAGCTTATTCAAACTAACATTGATATAACGCGACTGAATCGAAACTTTGTTAAGGACCGAATGTTTAATCGAATCTATTTTATTTTTTATTAGGATAAGTAATTTTTTTATTCCTGTACAGTATTATTCTTAGTTTAACCGATTGAGAGGATGCATGTAAACTTTAATTGCCTGAACTTTGTTACTGAAGTATGTAATCAATAATAAATTCTATAATAATTCCTTTATAATCTTTTGTCCGATTGACCTAGTTACATTACATAATAAACAAAATTGTACAGACTAAAGAACACAAAATTTTGCATCTCAAAACCAAACAGTTGAGGTGTTTGTTTTTGTATTATCATTAGGAACGCTTGCTTTGATTTTCTATGCTCTCCGTAAAATTATGATGTGGCCTAATTTAAGAAAGAAAATGAGTGTAACCGATTTAAGTTATCATCATTTTGAGCAAATATTGAACTTACTTCACAATCTCAAAAACACCCAGAGGTATTTTCATTTTAATTCTTCTTTCACATTCGGTACGTGCCTTG